CCGGCAAGCACTCCGTCGGACCTCTCTCTCTCGAACTCCCTTTCTCCAACTCTCTCGGCCTCTCTCTCTAGGTCACACTCTCCCTCTCAACCTTCGCGCTTCTCTCTCTACATTTCTTTCAAATTAATTTGAAATTTGAAACGCAACTTGAAAACCCTGCCCACCCCCTTTCCACGTCATATTTCATTTGCTTTTTGATTTTCCACGTGGACCTCTTTCATTTAGACACCTGTCCCGTGTCTAAATGTTGTCAAAAGAGGTTGTTCAAGTATCATTTTCCTTAGATATATTATATGCTAATGTAAAAAAAAAAATCATACATACAATTGCCTTTTTCATAAGTCTAACGTCTATCCTAGTATAAAGAAAATATCATTTTCTATAGCTATCTAGGTTTAAGTTTTTTTTTATAATTTTATTTCTATTGTTGCGATTATTATAGTAAATATATTTTTTTTATAATTTTTGATGATTTTTAATTATAATAACTATTCTAATTAAGAACACAAACACCTGAATTTTTAATCCTACAAAAAAGGTAAAGACATATAACTTATTTTTATAAATTTTTATTGTTTTTAATAATATGCTTATGGGTTATTCAAGAATTTAATTGTATCATTGTATTTAAAATAAAAAAGATACATTTAATTATAATTAATAACCTCAAACAACCATGCTATTCAAATTCAATGCCCCCGACCAAATCCCAGTGGACCTAATAACACCCTAATCTTGGAGACTTCGCTCTATTGTTATCACATTCTTTACGTATCGTTTATGCAACCTTAATACACTTTACATTTTAAATTTTATAAGATACGTATATCCATTTATTAAATAATAATAGTATATATGAATTTATTAAATTAATAATAGTATAGTAGTTAAGTTGAGACCCATCGTTTGTTACCGTTGACAGACAAGAGTCTGCGCTTGAGGACTGTGGTGGGCCCCGGTCCCCCCCAGTTTCGAAAATCAAGGCAAAGACTTCGGTATAGCTCATGGCAAAAAAACTAAGAACGACACCACGTTTGTTTGTGTTTACTATTTAGTTACCATGTTTACTTCCACAATCGCCAAAACACCAACCCTTCCTTGTCGTTTTATTGTTTCAATTATTGTTATTATTACTTTTGTTGTTTATTCAACTTTTTCCGGTGTTTCACATGGAAGTTTCCGACACGCCGGCGAACCGGTCCGAATCGGGTTTCAGGGCGGAGATCGATACATCGGCGCCGTTCGAATCCGTGAGGGAAGCCGTCTCGCGGTTCGGCGGCGTTGGGTATTGGAAACCCATTATCAATGGTCTTGGCAATAAGCATTTCGAGCCTGAGGTAACAACCCATCAGCCTCTTTTCGCTTTGAAGTTGTGATTCGTGTGGTAACGGCATTGCACAAAGGAAAAGCTTCGACCTTTCTGATTTTGAACATTTAGAAGAAAATGGTTCTGTGTGTTTTTTTCTTCTGCCAACTCTATTGTGTATGGTGTTGTGATAAGAAATGGGGATTTGTTATTTTTACTGTTTTTGTTTTGTTAATTAATTGAGGTAGTAGTGTTTTGTCACGCTGCAGTTCAAGTTTTTTCTTTTTACTTGTTTGTGGTTTTTGTTCTTCTGAGTAGTACTTTGGTTTGGATCTGAAGGCAGTGATCTAAAGTAAAATATTATAAATTGTGAATCTTCACAAAACGTGGAAAGCAGGTGATATTAAAGTTCAAATCATTTCCATGTTTGTTTTCGTTTGTTTGATTATTTATTTGTTTACGGGTAGTGTGCTAGCTGCTAAGAACCCTTCGCCTGACAATGAAGGTTATGTATATGATATCTTAGCTGGATTATGTTTTTTCCAGTGTAATATTTTCGTGGCTTTTATCTGTTTAGAAAAGGACAACTTAAATGCAGTTTTTTTTAATGTTTTTTTATGATGTTTTCAAGTTATATTTTGGCATTTGTATTGAGTTAATTTCACAATTAAAGTTTCTCTCTTCTTTTTAGCTGCGTCACCCAGAAGAGCTGGACCCTGGAAAACTGGAGGAGCAAGCTGCTGTATTGGAGAAAGAGCTGATCCTGAAAGAAAGGGAAACTCTAGATGTCTTGAAAGAGTTGGAAAGTACCAAAAGGCTTGTGGAGAATTTGAAATCAAAGTTGCAGAAAGAAGAATCTGAAGCGAAATTGAATTTCCAAACGAGTGTGTGCAATGATATGTGTACTGTTAAAAAGGATGAGAAAGAAGATAAGGAAAACCAAGTGAGTAATGTTGTTCAGGATTTGAATGAAGGTTGTGTCCCCTGTCATTCAACAGCCCCAGGTTTAATATTAAAGGAATTGGAGCAAGCAAAACTGAATCTGAACAGAACCACAAGTGATATTGCTGATGTTCGCGCTTCTGTTGAATCACTCAATAAGAAGTTAGAGAAGGAAAGATTATCTCTTGAGAAGACAAGGGAGAGGTTAACTCAGAATTCTTCAAAGATATGCTGTCTTGAGGAAGAGCTAAACCAGACAAAACTAAAACTGCTCGTGGCAAAAGATGCTGGTTTGGATAACCCTTCGGATATTACAAAAGAGCTCCACCGGCTGAGTTCTGAGGCAGAGAATTTCAAGAGAATGGGAGAAGCTGCTAAATCGGAAGTCTCGAAAGCAATGTCTGAGATTGAACAGACAAAAGCTATGATAAAAACTGCTGAAATCAGGCTGGTTGCTGCTCGAAAAATAAAGGAAGCTGCTAGAGCAGCAGAAGCAGCTGCCCTTGCAGAGATAAAAGCTTTATCACATAATGATAATTCACCTGGAGAGTGCATGCAGAAGCATGATGGAATTACCCTTTCCTTTGAAGAGTATAATGCACTGACCTGCAAGGCGCGGGAGGCCGAGGAACATTCTAAGAAGAGAGTTGTAGATGCTATGCTTCTAGTAGATGAAGCAAATGTATCAAAAATGGACATTTTGAAGAAGGTAGAGGAAGCCACAGAAGAAGTTAAAACCAGCAAGAAGGCCCTCGAGGAAGCTCTAGAAAGGGTAGAGGCTGCAAATCTAGGAAAGTTAGCAGTTGAAGAGGCGTTAAGGAAGTGGCGGTCGGACAGTCACAGACGGCGATCCTCCATACATAACTCCACCAAGTTTAAAAATGCTTACCCTTCTCACTATAGAAAGGAATCTCGGTTACTCGACGTGAACGGGTTGAATCTGGTAAATGATGAGGCCAAGCCAGTTCTTAAGCCAACACTGTCTATAGGAGAAATATTGAGTAGAAAGTTGATGATGCCAGAAGAGTATGAAGCTGGAGAGAGAGAGTCAGTTAAAGGGAAGGTTTCTCTTGGTCAGATGCTAGGCAGACAAAATGCAGATGCATCATCCTTTGACAGGCAAGCTGAGAAGGAAAATGGTCAGAAGCAGTTTTCTGCAAAGAGAAAGAAATTTGGATTTGGTAGATTCTCTCTTCTTTTGACAAAGCAGCAAAAGAAGAAGAAGCCAACCCTGAACTTGAGGTGATGATGGCTTTCTTGATCATCTTGTGCTGAAAAATTCATGTTTGCATCTTATCAATCAATGTATTGTGCCTGCTTCACTAGATTATTGTCTGTTGCATTGTTTTCCCTTTGCTTGTACATTATAACTAAAGTTTGTCCATCAATTGTGATGCCACTTGTAGAGATGATTTATGTCAATTTGACTCTTGTAAGCTGATCTTATATTTGTGATATGCCTGAGGTTGTTCTGTTTTTTTCTCCCTTTTATGTTGACATGTTAGTTAAAGGATATTTCGAGGGAATTCATTGGAGGAAAATAACACTAATAAGATCTTATTCAACCAAACTGTTTTTAGAGATTTTTCTTAGTTGTTTTTTCCTATTTCAATATATCTATCTCAATTTTATTTTATTTTTATTATCGGTAATTTAAAATGTGTTCTGATATAAATTAATAATTGTTAAACTAAATTATGAATTCCATTTTAAAAAACATTTATTGTTATAAAATATTTATTTAAATTTTATATGGTTAAAAGTATTTATGGACTTTATGGGATATGTCACCAGTTTCTTATATGTATTTATGGAATATAACATAGCATAAATATATTAATGGAAATATTTTTAAAATAAAAACAATCTTTTAGCAACTGTTTGATTTATTGAAGGTATATAAATAATTATCAAAGTACTTAAATTTATTAATGAATTTTCATCAGTGAATTATTTTTAATGACACGTATATTAGGATGATGCTTAAAGAATTATACGTAGTAATTGAACTAGGAAGTGTTAATTTTTGTATTGTTCATTTCTCGGAAAATAGTTACAATGCGAGTTTTTTTTATACATTAGAATGTGGTAAATTATTTTTTAACCTGCATATAACTTTCGTTTTTACTCTAATTTTTGGTTCAGTTAATTTAAAGTTTTAAAAATATACTAATAAAAGTTAAAATTTAACTGAATATGTTTTAAAATATTTCTCAGCATAATATTTTAAAGTATGTGATTCTTGAAAATACAATAATTTACCTTATGAGTGTTTATGAATGGAAGTAATATGTAAACTCAATCAATTTCGACATTGTTTAAATGTATTTGAGTTGAACCCAATCAAACTCAAATTTTAATTTTGAATTTCTAAACTCATAACTCAATTCATAATCTGTGTGACATTTAATTTTATTAAATATTTATTTATGTCAAATATATTAAACTAAAAACCAAATAAAAATGCTATTAATGACGTGTTCACATTGTCACTCACTTTTGACATTTTAAATTTCTTTGGTGAGTTATTCAGTTTAAGTAATTCATTATTTGTGTAATAAGTTTCTAACCAACTAGACTTCAAAATTGATATAATCCAAAGTGTTTAACTTGAACTGAATTCATATTTAAACTAAAATAAAATGATCTAACAAAGAATTTGAAAAAATAATCATTAATTTAGAATTTTTATTTTCAAAACAGATATAGCTAATTAGAAGAGTGAAAAGGTAAATTATAAATAACTAAAAGTAAATAACAAACTTGATAGGAATCATAACTTTTGTGTGACCTTTCCTTCTCCTGAACCTCGTAGTTGCACCTGACACATTTCTTTGAAACGGTGCCCTGATTTCTTCCACAACAGGCAATCTTCCTTCTTCATTCCTCATACGTCTTTCGTTATAATTAACGTTTTTTCTTATCATAATTGTCTCCTTAATTATTCATCTTTTGTTATTCATTCATCTCTATTGCTCTTAATTTCATACATACAAACATAATAATATATACGTCTTCTTTGTTTTTATGATCATGCAATTCACACTGATTTATTTTCTGCTGTTATCTTCACTAGTTTCACACTATTGTTACGCCACTCAATTTATATCATGCTTTATGTGTGGTGCATATTTGTATTATTGCTAATCTCTTCATAATGAATATTTAATTGATACGGTTGTTGAAAATATATTTTGATGCTGCATATATTGGCTTTAGTTGACGATTAATTCTGTATACGTGTATATCTCTGTTGTGACCGTTTGCTTCTGTCTTCTTTTTTTTTCCTGGGGGAATTTAACATTGCTTTTTGAAGTGCTTGTCACAGGGATCATGGAAGGAAGAATGGGGCTTTTTTTTCTGTTTTTGTTGGGTGCTGCTTGGGTTTGTGATGCAAGAGAGCTAGCAAACGGTGGTGGTAAGATTGTTAGACTAACTTTTTCCATCCTTTTGCTTTTCACTGTCATGCTCGATGAGATGCATAGAACATAATTACAAATTCCTCCTGAGGGTTTGTTCGGTTAAACTTTTCGTAAGTATTTTAGGAAAAAAGTAAGAATTTTTTTACAAATTAACATGTATAAGCTATTTTTCCTTATTGAGAATCTCGTTTTATTTCTATTTTTTTCTTCTGTTAGTGTTGGCGAAGAAGTTTATTCAAATACACTCTCATGTTATTTCTGATTGTATATATTTCTTGTGCTAATCAAGCATTGCTTATTGAATGGCTTTGATCAATTTGTAGAGGTTTTTGTGTTCATTTGATGGGAAAGGAAGACCAATCCTGACATTCCTTTCCATAAGCCTTACCAATGTGTGTCAATTTGTAAATATCCCTTCCTTTTAGATAAATTGATGTAAGAAATATGGGTGAAGTTTTCATATTCAGGCACTTTTATAGTAGAAAAGATTCCAATTTGTCAAAAATGAAACAGCTGGGTCTTAGTTCTCATTAGACCACTGAAGCAAAAATGCTACTTGGTAAACATAGTGTAAATAATTTCTGTTAAAGAACGGTTATAATTTTAAAATAGAAGTGCTACTTCAGTAATCATTTATGCTGGGGACATATTTTGCATGCAGAAGTAAACAGGAAATCAGATGTCTGTGAACTTTGTGAGGAATATACCACTGAGGCACTTGCTTATCTAAATGATAAAGAGAACCAAAGAGAGATTATTGATTCACTTCACAATAAATGTTATCAGATTCTCTCTTTCAAACAGCAGGTTGGTCACTTTTCCTAAATCTGTTTTGCTTACAATATGATAATTATACATATTTTACTTCTCATAAACAGAATAACCGATAGTACATAAGGAAATAGGTTAATGAGACTTGGCAGATAGTTATATAGATGGGGGGAGGAGTTAGCATGGATATGAAAATAGAATGGTTGAAGGGGATAAAATTCACTTAGACTTGTTACTTAGCATTATTAAATTGAGCATTTTCTCTCTTGTAAAGGAGAATTTTGGAAGATAATTGTCTCCTTTGTTGATAATCAATAATCGATACAATGTGCAGCATTATTTTCTTGTAGTTTGTTTCTAGGTTCCTAACAGAAACACAACCTAGTTGTTTGTGGACTTTGTTTGGAGAAAATTGTAAAATAAATTAGTGACTTAAGACATAATAATTGGACAGGCTGTTAGGCAGGAGCTAGCAAAGCTAGTTGATAACAAGACATGATTGCAGGTTTATCATAGAAGCTGGTTTAAAAAGAAAAACTAAGAATCCGTAGTTTTTACAGTAAAGAGTTAGTTAGAAGAAAGGAACCCTTTGATAGAAAGCTTAGATGAAAAAGAGCGGGAGTTCATGAGATTTGAGAGACTTGTAACTAGAATAAACCGATGGAAAGGAGAGTTCTCTTTTCTAACATTTTTTGTACATTTGGTGAGACAAGGAGGTTTGATTTTCTTATCATTAGGAATTTATGGTTCAATGTAATGAATCAGAGCTTGTTAGACTCTATATTTAATAATATAGATTTATTCTGTACTTTACAGTGCATTGAATTGGTGGATTATTATGCCCCACGTTTCTTCTCAGAAATCGCATCAGTTCTGCCTAGAGAACTCTGCGGACAGGTCCACCTCTGCCAATCTGCAAATATCTCCTCACAAGTTCAAGGAAATAAGTGTGACTCTTGCAAAGATACTGTTTCAGCCATACTGGTTAAGTTGAATGATCCTGACACCAAGGTTAGTACTTTAGCATCCTTGAGTGAAAGTCGAGCGTTACTTAAGAACTCACTCTGTAATATTATATAAAACTTAGTAACTTTAGCATCCTGATCACTCGATATTTTTTACTGAGCATTTCATATTACTTAATATGAAAGTTACATATGCATAATACCTAAGTCCCTGTCATCTATACAATTGACCCTCTCTAGGCTTCAATTTTTTTCCTTGAAAGCCTTCAAATACTGTTGCTTTGACCCCACTCTGCAAGTGTCTTTACTCCACGTTTTTGTCACCTTTTGTTGCATATGAAACTAACTATTTAATGTCAGCTTGAGATAATGGAAGCACTGTTGAAGGCATGCAATTCTATGGATCAGTTGGCAAAGAAGGTAAGAAAATTCTATCTTTCTTTCACTCTCTTATTTAATAAATGGCGTTGCATTGAATCTATCCTATGAATCCAAAATAGGATTTTTCAAATTTTTATCCTGGTCTTGGCAAAAGAAAAATTTGCAACCATAGTTTTTGCCCACAGGTATTTTCATTTAATGGTTTATCTCTGCTGTCAACCTCCTTACCTAGCCAATAATTGAGCTCTTGTGTGCAAATTGGTGACATTATTCGCACTTCACCATCCAAAGGATTGTCCAACCAAATAAATGAAATAATTTGTTCTGTTGGAACTGGATAAACTTTTCTTTTTGTGGGGCAACAGCAGAGTTGAAAATATATAAATCTCACGAAAGAAGGTTAAGATCGCCTAAAGTCTTAACAATAATTAGTAATGGATAAAATTTATATTCACTCGTTTTAGCGGGCATATTTGTGTTTCATTTTGGTGATCTATAACCTTTAACATGAACTTCTATTAACTCTAATTTGAATTAAAAATAAATAAAATAAATGTCTTGGTCTATGCATTGACAATATAAAAACATTGTCTAGTCATATGTAGTTTATATATATATTAAGTTTGTTTTGACTTTTATAATAATGACTTTAGAAGGTTGCCGCAAGGATAGTTTTTAATCAGAAGCAACTCGTACTTGTTAAACTATAAACAAGTGAATTCTAATGCATATATAAAATTGCATCTAGGTTTGTTCTAAAAAGATAAGCTAAAGTGTAGGCAGAGTAACCTGGATCAATTATTCTCTGAAGAGTATTTTTGCCACTCGAGCGCTTCGTACCTGTTCCTATTAGACAAATTCATACACCGAAGAAACACATCACAAAGATAATTTTCATGATCAATTATTTCCTCTTTATTAATGGTGATTTTTTTTTTTTGCAGTGCAAGAGGATGGTTTTTGAATATGGACCTCTGATTATTGTGAAAGCAGAGAAGTACCTGAAAACAACAGATATATGCACTACATTACATGTTTGCCCAGCTTCTACTGCAGTTAGCAACAAGGAAGCCTCAATCATGGAAGAAGAACCTTTGATTTCTGACTCTTAATCATGGGAGAAGAGTTTTATTACATTTATGGAGTGCTTATTGCTTTAAGTTCTACTCCTGATATTTCTATCTAAACTAAAATCCATGTGCTTCTAACTATGTACTCTCACTAAATGTCAAAGACCATGATTGTGTGATAGCAGTGTTTTACAAGATTTTCTTTATTTTGAAAGAGTGGCATTTAAGTTCCAAAAAAGCCCTTTTGTTTATCAATTAGTTTTTGAACCGATTAAAAAAAATACTAATTATTACTTGGTAAATAATATGTAGAAAAATGGTTGGTTTGTCTCAATTTTAATTCTAAGAGTATGGGTATGATTGTTTTATTAAAAATTATAAATTCCTAATTTGATCACTATACTATAATTTTTAGGCTGGTTCACTTTGTACATTCAAACATTTTATCCTGCATCTTCAATTTTCAAAAATAGTTTTAAAAGTTATATATATATATATATATATATATATTATCGGATTTTAGTTACAATTATTTATTCCTTCATCCATCAATCAATTCCTTTAGCACCGTTCATCACTCCCTTCATGTTTTGGGTGGTCTTCACATAGAAGACTAATCCCTCTCGCTAAAATTCTTTCACAGTTTCATAATTAAAGTATTCGTTCTTTCAATTTATTCAAATATAATTTATTTTCATCCATTCTTTTTTAGTTTTAATTTCTACTTTATGATTGTTTTGAACTACAAATTTTCAATGTTCTCATTAATTAGAACTCATTTTAAACTTCTTTAAGTGAAAGGTAAAGGATTTACACGATTTGCTGGCACATGCAAAAAGTGAATAACAATGTATTCATACTTGGATTATAGTAATTGATAAAGTTATTAGAGTTTTTCTTGAATTATATAAGAAGCTAAATGAATTAACTGATTGGTTAGTTTTAACTTATATTTTGTTTCCTTAACAGTTAGAAGAATAAATAAGAGTTTATATGTTTTTGAATTATAACCAATGAAGAATTCAACTATAAGAAAACTGGAGAATCAACATGTCTTTCTATAGTTAGTTTTATTTTCAAACACCCTCTCCCCTTCTTTTTATTTTTTAAAAATGTGTTATAAGTGGATATTGTTAGAGTTTCAAGTGTGAGTCTAAATCTCACGTTAGATAGAAATGAGAGAGTAGAGCACCATATAAGATTGAAGATCCATTAACCCATTGTCTTAAGGTTTTGTGCAGAGAGTGATGTCAATCCCTTATATGTTTGGGTTCAGATTTCATTGGTGTTGTAACTCCCTAGTGAACTTCCTCTTCGTTAAACCTAATAAGATTTTTGTATCAGATTCATTGAGATACAATTTAGGTTGACTTAAACTTTTATATATTAACATCCATTTAAACATTTCCAATGACACCTTATCAAATTTGACACTATTGCTAGAGAATCCAATTTGAATTTTACTTTACATTTTCTTATTTTAGTTTGCATAATCTATTTTGTTCATATTTTACTAACAATTTATCTTTACATCTGAATCTTTATTTTATTTTAATCATTTACTAATTTTTAATTTGTTTTAGTTTTTCAAAATACAAAACAAATTTTCATTCTTGCATGAGAATAATTTCCCCTTACAAAATTAATCAACAAAGTAACTTTTAATTGAATGATGTTTCATATTTTCAGTAGCTCTCGTACGAGAAAACCTTATGATCCATTTTTTGTATCATATTATGAATATCCCTCATGTTATTCTTCAAGTATTTTTTTTATCAACCTTTGTCAAGATTCTCAAATACACTACTGAAGATGTCGTCAGACAAAGGTTCGTCATTGAGAACTACTACCGTTGGGAAATGATTGAAGATAAAGACATAAAGTCTCAAATTAATGAGTATCACAAGTTGCTTGAAGATATAAAAGCAAATAATATTCTTCTACCTGATGAATTTGTTTCATAACTTCTAATCCAAAAATTATCGTCATCATGGACTGATTAAAGAAAACAACTAAAACACAGACACAAGCAGATGTCACTTCCAAAACTCATCAGACATATAATTATTGAAGATACCAACAAGAAAGAGTGTGCTACTATAAAGGCCAAAGCTTTCAATACAAAAGCAAATATGGTAGAAGAAAATCATGTTTAAAAAGGCACGAACACAAACCTGATCATAATAGAAAAAACAATTTTCAAAAATCTCGTCCCAACGGATCTAACCCCACTTTTAAGAAGAAAGGAAATTACTTTGTGTGTAGAAAGTTGGGCCATCATGCACCATAGTGCAAGCGCAAAGCAAGAAACAATAATTCTTCTAGGGAAAATATAGTTGAAGAAGATGATATTATTGCTATGGTCGTTTCACAAGTAAATTTGATGACCATGTGAGAATGTGGGTGGTAGAATCTCGTACTACCACGCATATATGTGCAAACAAAAATTCCTTTACGTCCTACAATAGTGTATAGGATGAGAAGAACACGTTTACCTCTGTGATTCCAAGATAACTCTTATTCTAGGAAAAGGAAAAGTTCTTCTCAAACTCACGTCTAGAAAGACTCTAGTCTTGAGTGATGTGCTACATGCATCATCAATCCGAGTCAATTTAATCTTTATAGCACTATTGGGAAAAGTAAGGTTTAAAGTGTCATTCGAATATGCCAAGATTCTAATGACAAAAATAATTTTTTTGTGGGAAAGAGATATTGTGATCAAGGTCTCTTTGTACTTAATATTTCTCAAAATATTAATGAATCTTATTCTTCTATTTATATTGTTGATTCATATGATATGTGGCATACTAGATTAGGACACGTGAATTCTTCATATGTTATGAAATTACAACGATTGAGTTTAATTAATATGCACGATAAATAGAGTACTAAATGTGATATATGTGTAGAATCTAAAATAATAAGTCAAATTGAATTGTTAGGGTTAATTCAAATTCATCTAGCTCATTTAAAACAAATAATGTCTACAAGCGATAAAAATTACTTTGTAACCATTAAAGATTATTATTTTAGATACACCAAAGTGTACTTAATCAAACATAAAGATGAAGTTTTTGATGTGTTTTTAACTTATAAAGCAGAAATAGAAAATCAATTGAATAAGAAAATTAAAAGGATTATATTAGGTAGAGGTGGTGAATATGTTTTGTTTAATGAGTTTTGTGTTAGAGAAGGTATTATCCATGAAGTAGCCTCACCATATTCACTTGAGTCTAATGAAGTAGTTGAGAGAAAGAATATAACTCTAAAGAAAATTATGAATGTCATGCTTATGAGTTCTAGTGCACCTGATAACCTTTGGGGTTGCTTACTGCGTGTTTTTTACAAAATAGAATACATCATAAGAAAACTGGTAAAACTCCCTATAAGATGTGGAGAGGTTATCAACCTAATCTTAAACATCTAAGAGTGTGAAGGTACCTAGCTAAGGTGATGTTACATGATCCTAAGAACAGAAAAATAGGCTCTAAAACCTCTAATTGCATGTTCTTGGGTTATGTTGAACATAGTGTTGCTTATAGGTTTCTTGATCTTAAGTGATATATACTTGAGAGTAATTTTATAGTGGAGACAAAAAATGTTGAGTTTCTTGAACATGTATTTCCCTTAAAGGTTAATGAGACGTATGAACCTAATGATACTAATAATAGTGATGTCTCATGTAAGGATTGAAGAAGAAGCAAAAGACAAAGAAAGGAAACTTCCATTGGTAAAGATTTTTATATTTATCTTGTTCATAATGATTTAAGTATCTTTGCAAAAGCTACTAGTACTTATGACGCAAAATAGTGGGATAAGACCATTAGAAATTGAAATTGAATCAATTCAGAAAAAATAGTACTTGGACCTTAGTACATTTGCTTAAAGGAGAAAAACTCATTGGTTGTAAGTGGATATTTAAAAAAGAGTATCGCCTTAATGAAGCTATAAAGAAGTATAAGGCAAGATTAGTAACAAAATGCTTTACTCAAAAACCCAACATAGATTATTTTGACACATTTGTCTCTGTGACTAGGATTTCCTCTATTCGAGTGTTGTTAGCCTTAACAACTATCTATAAGCTAGTGATATACCAAATGGATCTTAAACTGCCTTTTTTGAATGGTGATTTGGAGGAGGAAATTTATATTACTCAACCTGAAGGGTGTAATGTACTTGGTCAAAAGAATAAAGTATGCAAACTTTAGAAATCCTTGTATGGGTTGAAACAAATACCAAAACAATGACATGAAAACTTGATAGTGTATTGCTATGTGATGGTTTTTCACCTAATGATGTTGATAAATGTATGTACTCTAAATTTAAAAATGGTGAAGGTGTCATTATATGCTTGTATGTGGATGACATATTAATTTTTCTACATGAAATGAGATTGTCACTAGAACTAAATTGTTTCTAGGATTGAATTTTGAAATGAAAGACATGGGTGGAGCTAATATAATTATAGGTATTAGAATCGTAAGGCGGAGAGATAATATATTACTATCCCAAGAACAATGCATTGAGATACTTCTTAAGAAGTTTGGGTATTATGACTTTTGTTGAGATTGTTGATAGGGGAGCACTAGTTTAGCTGAACCTACAATCTTAGAACTTCTAGTTTTTTATGATGACAACATAATTAATAACACATGTATTGTTTATGTGTTACATGTTCTATTGCTTACATGCTATATGTTTTAATCATTGTGTAAATCTGTTTAAAGCATTGAGAACATGATTGTGTTGATACATTGCATTTCATTGTGCTATATAATTGATTTTATTGGTGAATGCATGTTTGATGTTTTATAGAAGGAAAACCACAAGCACTTATAATGAACTTTTAGTTGTGTGGAAAAACAACAGTTTTAAGTCGACTTCATTATGGGGTGAGTCGATTAAAACTCATGGCTTTGCACAAACCATTTACAAAGTGTGCTGTAAGGATTTTCAAAGTGAATGTTTTTCAAAACATTGTTTAACTATGTTACATAGTCGATTACATGCAACCTGCATTTGACTAAGTCTGTTACAGTTTTGAAATTTTGTAAATGCTTGAATTAAATGTTACAACGACTATATTTTTAATATGTTGACCAAACATTAAATGAGATTCGACTGCATTAATTGTACATTCAATTAACTGCATTGATTGCTGCTAATTGTTTTAACTGAA